TAAAGTTTAAATATTTTATTCAAAATACTGAATAACATTTTTCAATGATTCATTCTAAATATCATATTCATTTAATATAAATGATTAAGACCTTATTTAATAATACAAAATCAAAATTTAATAATACAAAATGTTAATATAATTATATTTAATTTGGGATACATCTTGGGTAAATTTCTTACCATGTACATCAGTCATTACACAAACTGCAAAAACATTATATTTGGTACAAATACATTTTAAATAACCACACACCAACATATTTTTAAAACTCAATAAATAAATTTAGAAGTCTCATATACTCATCTTATTTACAAATTTTGTCATGCTACTTAAAATATCTTCAAAATCTCAATATTCCTAATTAATTATTAAGTCAATCCCTACATATTACTATCAGATATCAATTTAGTTTATTTAGATTATTCAATACATTCACTCATTCTCCTGGAGAAGAGCTTCCTTTTGTACAAGTTCATCGCTACACAGAATGTCAAACACTGTGTTTGTTGTGTGTATTTTTTTTGTTTTTGAATCATGATAGAGGCTCATATCTATTCTATTCTCTTCTAAGGACGTATTGTGATTAGCTTCAGACCCATTAAGGTCTAAACATCGTACTGTAACACAGTTTTCTGCTATATTATCAGAGTGAGTTAGGGTAAACTCCCCCACATTATCCAATGGCAAACTGGTTTTCATAGAATCATAATTTTTTTCCAAAGCAACCTTTCTATCGGCTGCTGGGAAGTATCCAGAATCAAAAGAATAATCTACTTTCTTACAACCCTCTGAAATAGAATCTGACTTAGCTGCTTCTAAATCATTGATGCAGTCTATGAAATCAGTTGGGGGGTTTTGTGCATCTGATAAACTTTCTGCAGTCATCTCTTCACTCTCTGATTCAGCTGGAGATTCATCTTTGCTTATACCTGGCAAGTAAGGTATATCAATTGCCCCTTCTGTGCCCACAAGAGCAACCTTGTACTTCAGCCTTTCAGGATGACCCATTGGGTACTGGCTCATCTTCACTTTTAGTGCATATACATTGTGTGTAACTGACCAGCCAATGGGCATATGCTGTGGTTTCATTGATGAGAGAAAATGCTGCCGCCATCTCTGAATTAACTTTACCAGCCCAACTTTTTCATAAGCTTCATACACTTTGTGGCCATGGGACTGAAAGGCCTTATTCCAAAATTTAGAATCTGTCTGAGCCATCTCTCTCAGCTGTGTTTCACTTATGAAATCAGTCCCCAAGTATCTCTTAAGTATATTCTCCAATTCTAACACCCTTTTCTCAGGGATGTTTACCCTATTGTGAACCAAAGCTTTAGCAGCATTTTTCACAGTAATTCGATGTCTGTCCACACTGGTTTTCTTGCTATGTTCACTGCCAATAGGGGCATCAAACTCTGTTGCTAAAGTGTAACGTAACACTTTATCCTCCAAGTTGCTTTTCTTGTGGCAGTCCAAACACAACAACACAACATCGTGACTCTGGTGGTTTTTCAGGATGTCTGGGAAATGCTTGCGGTATTCAAGGGGAACAATGTACTTTCTGATGTATATTTCATCCTTCCCACATACTACACAGTTGTTTAAACGTTCTTGAAGGTAGAACCTGCTATCATCCCGGTCAGCTAAGGGTCGTCCAGAAGGTTCAAAGTTCAGTCGAATGACGAGAGGATCTTCGCTTACAACTTTTGCTTTGCCTTTTTCCACATACCAGAGTGCTTTCCTTGGGTCACACACACACAGCAACTCATTGTCAGGGGCTCTCATCTGGCTGTAGTAATAGAGTGGGCTCCTGCGCGTCACCTGTGGTTGGTAGGCTGACTTCAGTTTCACACTAGAAGCAGTCTGTCCACTTTCATTTGCTCCTGTGAAAGATTTACAGTGACAATTGGGGTTGAGGCTCAAATATAAATGAGTACCAGAAGACCATGATTAAAATATCAAAGAGATAACGAAAAATATGAAGTGAATCAGAAAGCATTTGTAAGGGATGGACATAAAACAAAAATTGTATCATGCTCCTGTTTATGGAGTGTTATAGGTAATGTAATGGCCAAATATGTTACTGCTGTATGATGGAGCATTCTTAACATGGTCATTTGAAGTCATAATGATTGTTAAATTGCGAGAACCAAGATTCTGAATCAACACAAAGATGCTTTCCTGTGCCCCATATTATAGAAAGAATCTTTAGTTTCCTCTATGTTAGAACAGTCCTATCCAGCCAGTCAGATTTTATGTAATGTGTAATGCATTACCATTAAAGCAAGTTAGTGTTGGTCATGATTTTTAGATCACTAACACAATGGATGCAGAGCTGTTCAGAGTACATATTTGTAGAACTAAGATGATACTTTATCAAGACCACTTACTTCACTGTCTATACTAGTTAAAATCTTTGGATACTGGGTTTCAGTTGCTGATTATGAACATGCACTTTCCAGCCTTTCTTCACCAAGGTGCTTCTTGTTCCAGTAGAATAGTACTTTATGATGACAGAATGTTTATAAGATTTAGATTGATACATTAGGAATTAAAGCAAGTAAATTTGGGTGAAAATACAGAAGTTGTGCCCCTCCTAAACAAACTTGAGCATTTAAAGGTCTTCATTATTATTTCTATGTTTTGATAATCATATGTCGCAAATCTAAAATCATAAAACAATTACAAAACTTGACCTGGTTCATTTTTGTCTGATGAAACTAAATACCCATACGCAAATAAATTTAATGATTGATACCCAGATATTACCATCCAAAATGGTGATAGACGATCTTGAAACAAGTAAAGAGAAATATCGCAATTATGAAACTCCACATTAGGAAGCTCAGCATCCTCCCTTAACACAAAGGGTCTCATTGGTTGAGGATAGAGCAGATAAGACAAACATCCCCTCAGGTGTAGTCTCTCTGCTTTGTGATTCAGTTGAGCTTGAGGGTGAGTTTTCCCTTTTCACTGGAGGACTGTATGGGATATCAAGTTCCCCTTCTGTGCCAACAAGTGCAATCTTGTATTTCATGCGTTCTGGGTGATCTGGTGGGAAGTGACTTGCTTTGAGCTGCATCTTGAAGAAGTTATGTGTGACAGACCAGCCCTCTGGCATATGCTGTGGCTTCATTGAGGACAGAAAGTGCTCCCGCCATCTCTGCTCTAACTTCATCACACCAATTTTCTCGTAACCTTCATAGACCTTGTGTCCATGTGACTGGTAGTCATCATTCCAAATCTTGATGTCTATCTTAACTACGTCTTTCAAAAAATTATCATCCAATTCTTCTATATTGAAATAATCTTTGACTATTTTTTCTAAAACAGCAATCCGGTTATCAGGTATGTTTTCTTTGTTATTTAGTAATGCTGAAGCTGCATTCCTTACTATTTTCCGGGACTTGTCAATACTGACTTTGACATCTTGTTCTGTTCCAATAGGAGCACTAAATTCTCTCGCTAACTGGTGTCGGAAAGATTGATCATGCAGGTTGCTAATCTTGTGGCACTCAATGCACAAGAGCACTACATCATGACTCTGGTGGTCCTTCAAGATGTCAGGGAAGTACTTCCTGTATTCATGAGGAACAACATTCTTCCTAATATATGACTGGTCCTTGCCACATGTCACACAGATATTGTGTCGCTCCTGAAGATAGAACCTGCCATCTTCCCTCTCCACCTGTGGTCGGCCTGAGGGCTCAAAGGTCAGCCTCACCACCAGGGGCTCTTCAGAGGCCACAACCCCAAGGCCCTTTTCCACATACCACCATGCCTTCTTAGGGTCACAAACACACAGGGGTTGATCATCAGGAGCCCTAAGCTGGCAGTTGTGGTAGAGAGGGCCCTTGCGGGTGGTGAAAGCCCTTGTCATAGGCTTCACTTTCTGGGTAGTGGCTGGTGGCCCAGAGCTGCTTGATCCTAAAGGAGATTTTGGAGGAAAGAGCTTTTTTAAGAATGAAGCAAGGACACAGATCCTAGAGAAAAGTAATAACTAAACACAGAACAGAATAATTTTTAAATGGTTCAATTCCTCTGCTTGTAAGAAATACAGTGTACTTGATTCTGGCTTTCATTCTGGATCAATTTAATTTTGTGTATGATTTATAATGCAACATAAGCACAAAGCTGATGCATTTACATGCATGGTTGTGTATGAATGGTATATTATGTGTGACTGCTAGAAATGGCAGGAAAGACTGGAGCCTGGTGGAAGGTGCAATTAATGTGCTTACATTTGATTGGTTCTCAGATGAAGAACTAAAATCCACTTCACTCCACTTCACCTTGATAAAACATGAATTAAGCATCTAATAAATGTGGATTAAAACCCTTAAAAAGAGTATGGCGCCTCCACTAAAAAAAAGACACTGCTAAAATAATGACTAAAATACCCCATTTCCTGTCATGCAGTGGCAAAGAGACTTAATGCTGAAGTGGTCCCCTATGTTGCAGCTTTATCTTTCTCTGTAACTGTCCCAGGTAGTGATTTTTAATCTAGGCTAACCTCCTTTTTAGTATCTGTCATCTCACAATAAACAGAGAAAATGTGAATCAAATATGAAGCATCTTTTCCTTCTGCTACTATGATTCTATTTCATTCTATTTCTTCTCTTCTCCCTGTTTCCTTTTTAGCAGTATAAATTGCTTTGAAGAAACAATGAAAATGTTCAAAAGGAGTTCTTTGAAAAGGAATTTTCTCCTCTGATAATTTCACTTCCTCATATGTTTCCTATAATTATAGCATTATAAGAGTCATATGCATCCAATATTGATAAATACTATATTTAATGTTTTTTCTACAGTTTGCATTTTGCAATGAATATAGAAATATATAAAAATCACTACTATACTATGATAGCACATGTACATGAGCACTTGCACACATGCACACATGCACATGCTTGCACTTACACATGTACACATACACACACACACACACACACACACACACAAACACACACACACACACACACACACACACACACAACAAACACACACACACACACACACACACACACACAACAAACACACACACACACACACACACACACACACACACACACACAAAAAAAAAAAAAACATACACACACACACACAAGCAGGCATATACACATATAAACATACAGATATAATATACACATAACCATACAGATATAATATACACATATAAACAAGCAGGCACACACAGATAAACACAAAAGCAGGCAGATGTGCATGCACACACACACGCACACACACACACACACACACACACACAC